TCGTCGACTTTGTCGCTTTTTTCGTCACTGCTCATGGTGCCAATACTTATTGATGGCCACTTGGAATGCTCGCAAGTGTGGGCTCTCGCAAGTATTGTACTGTAGTGAGAAAATTGGTTCTTGGGTGCTGCTGCTTGCGCTTGGCTTGTCCAAAAATCCAGAATTGGCCAAATACAGCACTGACAAAAATCAATGGATGGTTTTATTTCTCTTCGCTGCAGTTGCTCCACCAAAAAGTTTCGACAGGTCAGTAACTGAGGATCCTTTGAGGGTAGACCTTGGATGCAACTGGGAAAGAGGAGGATTGACACCCAATAAAAGAATCCAGAATATCCAAAAAGAATCCACTGCTTGAACAAGATCTGGTTGCTTCACTTTAGTGTTTGCACCAAGTCAAGGGGCAGCACCGAAAGGATCGCCACGACACAAGTATTATCTCGTCGATCCAATCGTCGGGATCCTCTGGGATACCTTACCGGCTACAATATCTGTCAGCAAATAATGAAGCTGTCGGAATCAGTTTCAATAACAGATGGATCAGGAGGATCGGTCCGCGGGTTGCTGTGGAGGGCGTAGCTGAGAGGGCGTTCAATGGAAGTGCGGGCGGAGCGAGAAGGGCGGAGAGTGGGGCAATGAAATCGAGGAGGTCCGGAGCAAAAAAGACGAGCACGTTGGTGTTGTGGAGGCAGTTGTTCTGGTACAAATTCTACGTGGCAATTGAAAAGAGCTCCAGAGAAGGCCTACTCTGAAGTAAATAAGGCTAAATATATCGAAGGAAGATCGTAACCGTCTAAATCTAATGGCTGACAGTCGCTGAACATCAATCAAAGCAATTATCCGTAACTCTGATCAACTTCAAGATACTTTTTCCAAATTTGAATGCCCGCCATCCGACCGTCCTGCGAGAGATGTGGACTGGGCTTGGGCGCGAGTTGTCTCGAATGGACAACATAACAAGGATCGAAAGTCCATTCTGATCTTCCCGTGGTAGACTTCTCAGGGGCCGGTTCTTGTTCTGCATCTGCCCATGACCCCACCACTAACACCTTTTTCATTCCCAATGCTTTGGCCATGGCACAAGCATGCTGTGGTCCAGCTCCACCGAAGCATGCCAATTTGTGCGTTCTTGTTATGTCGAATCCCTTCATTTCAAGTTGGGTCAAATTTCTAATAGGCCAACACATGGCCTCATTGGCAAGCAGCAAGAATCCGTAGGCAAGCTCTTCTGCCGAGCGACCTGCTTCCTCCTGGAGCTTTGTCAACTCGGCAAAGGCCTTGCACACACCCTCGACATCCAGAGGTTCATCTTCGTTGGGTTTCAATATTAGGCCAGGTAAGAAAGCCGCTTGCCACATGGAACTAACATCCTCCTAGTCCTCTCTTGTATCTAGCTAGTAGGGTTGAAATCAGGAACAGCCATGGCATTCAATCAGTTGTCATGCTATGAGCAGAACCATTAGCTAGATAGCAGCACTAGTCTACATGCATGTTTAGGTTTCACGTCAATAAACCTGTGCCGCATGTTGGCTTCAAAGATCTCATATCCAAAGGTTATGAACAAACTAGACATGTTGCCTTTTGAAAAGATACACATTTCAAGTAGTGACAGGGGAACAAGCTGTGAGATGCGGCTGATTGTGGCGACAAGAGATGCATCCTTGCTGATGGTGACAGAACTCAACGACGGATCGAAACTGCCCAGTGTTTCCGCCTGGAAAATCAAATGACTTCTGTCAATCATCCACTAAATCGACTGAGCTTAGTCTTTGTACCTGCTACGTAGTTACATCACTTTCTTCTGGAGAAAACTCGCCAACGCCAGCATTTGTTGCCATAGGAACGTGACAAAGGTTCTTCCATAGGGGACCAACACAGATAGGTTCCTGTGCAGCTTGGAAAATGCCGTGCCAAGAGCCGCCAAGACTTTGGCTACCATTGGTACCTGCCGTTGCTGATAAATCACAAGAGCCGCCAATGATATTACAATGCCAGTCACGATTTCCTTGGCATTGTGTCGAACTCGATACAAGAATAGTTGTCGTCTTCCCATCATAGCATGTACTTCTCTGATTTGTTCCTCGAGCGCTTCTAGTCTTACTTCCGGGGCTGTCAATACTTCTTCGGCATCTTTCAAGACGTAATCCAGCGCCATACCGACCAACGCTTCCACCAGTTTTCGTTTCGACTCTGCGTCCAATACGGGTATTTTCTGTACCACTGATTGTTCCAAGGCAAAGCTGACAATCACCTGCTCCAGATCGGGACGCACTCGGTCCATACCACCCGGGCGAAGAGCGATTTGAAGCTGCTCTGGTGCCACTTGCGTAAATGCGTGCGCTGTGATATCGATGCAGGAATCAATGACTGCGTCCGATACCATGGGAAACTGAACCTTCATGTTCTTCTTGAGTCTTTCTCGCCGTCTCGAATCCATCAATAACTGTGCCGTCTGAATACCAACCTCCATTCCGTTCTTCTTTTCTCCAAATTTTGGAAATAATGGCAACATGGTCAAGGATGTCTTTGGTTCACCACGACGATCTATTGGTGGAATCCTGCTGGTAGGCAGCCTCGGGTTGTTGACACCACGAGAAACCGAGTTTGATGACAACGGCGAACATGATGGGATAATGGTGAAACCGTTGCCAAAGCTATCGACACTGGCAAAAAAGACGAGGACGGCTAGGAACAAGCCTTCTGTCGGTGAAAGGATAAGCTGACTCTGCTTCATCATCTTGCTTCCAACATGATTGCTTTCTAGCTACTAGAGTGCGGTAGCTAACCAAAAAGTCTTCGGGGTTCCGTTTGGTGAATGGTGGCATCGTGAAAATGGTTGGATGTCGTTCAACCCAGCAGAGCTGACAGAAGCCAAAGCGGAAAGCTGTCAATTTTTCGTCCACAACGCAACGGCCATTTCGCCATTTCGACGAAGAGCTTCGGGTAACTCGGTCAACCCAACAGATCTCAAACCCTGGCTACCCCTCTCCTCTCTTCTTGCAATAGTTAAGGAACCTTGCAGCTCTTTGGGTTGTCAATTGAGTTCTAGTTATTCATTTTATTAAATTCCAGTTGGCCAAACAATGCCGAAACGTCCCGCTTCTCCCAACGCCATGAACAGCAACAATGCGTTGCAAAAGACTCCCATCTTTTTGATATTGCTGGGCTTGTCGGCCATCTTGTTGTTGACGGTGCCTGTCATGTATTCTCAATTGGAGACCATTAGTCGAGACGATGATCTCATGCAGCTGGGAAGCAGTGGTGGAGATGGAATGCGCCAGGATGAAGCTCTAAGACGATTCCGTAAACAACAAAAGAAGAAACGGCGACGCGAAAAACGCAATCACAATATGGATATTCCCGTCGGAATGAGCATGGGTGGTGGTGGTGGCGACAATCCCAAATTCCTGCAAAACATTCGTGACTTTGCCAAGTGGAAGCACCAAGAAGCTCAACGTCGCAAACAACGTGGTCTTCTGTCTAGTCGAGAAGAATTTGAAGCAAATGGAGGCTATGGAAATGACAATTTGAAGGATTTGAAAGAACACGTTCGACAAACTCTACGCGTTCCAGATCGACCGTCTCCTCCGGATGTGCCTTATGATATCTACAACTGCCCTGCCCATCCTCCTCCTAAATATCCTTATGCATGGAATGCCCTCAAGGTACTGGGACATTGGAATCCCGATGATACCGAGCTGCCACCGACAATTCATCAATCCCTCTGTGTGTTTGACTGGGAAACAGATCAGGAAAAGGCATACACGTACCGAGAGAAGCAGGTCCCATTTGTCATGCAAAATGTACCCGAAATCATGAAGACATCCATGCGATGGATGTCCGAAGGATACCTCGACAAACTGCTGGGAGACGAAGCCGTCAGGAACGAACATTCACGCAATAATCATTTCATGTACTGGAAAACACGATATCCTCAACCGGACTATGAACCACCCACGGAATTTGTCAAATTAACCTATCCAGAATGGAAACAAAAGGCAAGAAAACTCGATGATCAATTTGGCACAAAGGACACCAAACTGCAGCAAGTCGATAAGGAACACTGGTACTTTCGGCTAAATTGCATGCTAGAACAACATGGAGTGTTCTATGAAGAGCTACCCTTTTTTGATCCATCATTGGGAGAAACCATGACCATGATTGATCCCAATCAACATCGGGGTATTAATTGTCGGTTTGGAATGAAGGGAGTCATTGCCGAGACACACTTTGATTCCTCGGCCAATTTTATTACCCTCATGGGAGGACAACGACGATACATTCTGGCACATCCCAGTCAATGTCCCAACATGGAACTCTACCCACAACAGCATCCCAGTGGGCGACATTCCTCAGTCAATTGGTCCACGGCAGCCAAGGAGTTTGAGCATGTGGATCGGCCCTTTTCACATGCCCAAGTCAATGAAATAGTGATGCAAGCTGGGGATCTCCTATTTCTTCCCACCTATTGGTTTCATTTCATTGTGTCACTCAATTTGAACTATCAATGCAATTCGCGATCAGGAGTCTCGCATGAATATGATGATTTCATCGCTGAATGTGGGTTTGGGGCTTCCACGAAACAACAGCGCAGGGGTGGGCATCTGTAACAACTAAAACAAGAGCAAGAAAGGCAGGCGACAATGGAGGGCAGCGTTTGTTTCCTAGTTCTTCCGCGTTATTTGGCTGCAAAGTGGAGGCAACGCAACTAGTTGTGTAGTGGGGATCATCTTTGTAACGTACTAAAGGACTCGACTCAGTTTCATTACAGTATTATTGATTACACAAAGAAGTTTTGACACAATGGATACCGGCATAACTTTATCGGTTGCAGAGTTGCCAAGGGAGAATCGGGCTTGATCAATTCCGTACCGTACGGTAAAATGCCCTGTAGCTTGGTCCGGCATCGGGACGTACCGTACCGGTACCTGGTACCGGGTACGTACTCCAGGACACATACGGTACTAGAACCATGGTACTGTACCGGTACCTGGTCTCTCACCTTTGCCCTCCGCGAAGGCACACTTTCGGATCGTTTACGGTACGACTGTACAGTTTGGGCCAAAGTCTACTAGTACCGTAGGATCGGTCTCGCATCTGGAGTAGTAGCTATAGCTACTAGGTGGGAACAAGTAAACAGCATTTATGCATCCGAAACTCTAACAGTAGCAGTAGTTATGTAATCTAGGATGCGTCAATCACGGCGACCAGCAGACTGGCAATCAATATCATAAATGAACATTACCATCCGTGAGCGACACTTGGATTTGTATACACTGAACACGTTGCAGGAACTACCCACTTTAAAAATCCATCACCAGGAAACAGGCCTGCAGCAGAGAAGATCCCAAAAGGAAGGTTTGGGTAGTTCTGGCTCGGGCGGTCGCGTATCCTTTGGTAGTGAACCTGGTGTTGTTGTCGTCGTCGTTGTCTTTGCCGCTCCGGCTGGTGCCGAAGCACTGTATTTTCCAATCACAAGTTCAGGTGTAGGCTTCTCCTTCTTCTCCGGCTCTGGAACGGCCCCCTCGGCCCGAGCAATCAATCTTTGTTTCAATTTTGACGAGCACTTCTTGTTCATCGTTGCCAAGTCCAGAGGGAGCTTGCCTTCGCTATCGGGTGTCACAACCACGTGCGCAGGGGACTGCTCCAGAACATGAATACATGTCTCTGTCGCGGAGCTCATGTTAAGGCAAGCGACGTGCAAAGGGGAACGCTTCTTTTCATCCCATGCAGCCAAACTTTGGGGGCACCGATGAATGAGGAAGTCGAGCGTTTCATTTGGCAGCGGGTGGAACGCACATGCATACTGAAAGCTTCTATGAGAAGTTGTCCCGAGAATGACAAGCATATCAACAACACTGTTGCTACTTACATGCATAATGGTTTGTCCTCGATCGTCACACACATCGATGAACCTGAAAGGATTCTCCATAAAGACGGTCTCTATGAGCTCTAGAGGAGCAGCATTCGCGACCAACGAGAAGAGAGGATAGAGATTCCTTTTTTCGGAGCAAAATGTAAGGTCGTACTTTGCCCTGCAAACGCTTGGGCAGTCTTTTACAATCTTCAAAATGTCGTCAAATGCGAGTTTTTGCGACTTGGATAGATCCGCAGGGTCAACGTTGAGGAGTTTGTTCATTTCGTTCGCGTAATACAAATCTTTCTGGAAGTGTCACGATGGAGGAAGATAACTGTGTCAGGGATTTGCGTTGCCTCGCAAGACACGTTCGCTATTTGTTCACTTACATTGTACGTCATGAGTAGACTCTTGTTACTGGTGCTTCGAGGAGGTGATACCACCGATGCTGGGATACTTTTTGCACTGGTTGTGACCTGTTTGGGGCGGACAAGCTCCCCCGTGGAAGCTCTTCGTTTTCGAGCCTTTAGCTCGGACAGTTCCTTTGCCTCCTTTCCGGGAACAACAGCTTTCAACTGGCATTTGTCGTTGTAGGCAGCAATCTGGTTCTTGACACTTTGAAAGCTATGCGTCTCTGTTTCTAGCGAGAGACCCGGAACCAACCCGTTCTTGTATCGATTCCCAAAGGAACCCTCGCTGCTACGTCGATTAGATTGGGCCGTATGATTCAGTTTCTTTGGCGGCGGTGGAGGTATTGGTGTTGGTTTTTGCGCCGCGGTTGCTTTGAGTGACGCTTCTCGTTGTTGGATATCCATCTTGCCAGCTGTAGTCGCCGGCTGACTGCTTTGCTTGATCAAACTAGCTTTGAGAGACTCTTCTCTCTGTTTGATATCGATCTTGTTGACAGCAGCAGCTTGGCTTGTTGTCTTGGTGACTGTAGCTTTCAGTGACTCTTCTCGCTGTTTGACGTCCATCTTCTTTACTGGCCCGGCTTTGCTCGTTGGTTTGGTCAAAGTAGCTTTGAGGGACTCTTCACGTTGTTTCACGTCCATCTTTTTGACAGGTGGCGAATCATCAGCAGAAGCTTCGGTTGTGATTTTTTCCATGTTGGTGTCACTGTTGCTGGTTTGTAGTTGCAAGTCATCATTTTTGATGATGGTAGGAGGAGTTTCGGTTGTTGGAGGTTTGGTTTCGACCTTCGGCTCTTCTTCTGAGGGAATTTCTTTCGGCTCTCCAGCAGACTCTTCGTTGTCGTTGTTTTTGCCAGTCTCGGGTGGATCTTGTTGATATTTCTTTTCGTTCTTGGAGGTTGTGGAGCTCATTTCGTTTTCTTCGTTTTCTTTGTCTTCCTGCCACGGTGAAGATTCGGTATTTTGCACGTCTTCATCATCGAAATTCCCTTCGACCTCGACACTGTCGTCGTCACTGACCACAGTCACATTGACTGAAGCTCCACCAGTACCAGGTTCTGCCACACCATCTTCAGCATCATCGTCATCAGTGCCCACTCGAGCTGCAGCAGGGCCGGCAGTGGGCAAACTGTGGCCTATTGTAACGTCAGTCTCCACGACATGAGCAGCAACCTGCTCGGTTTCCGACGTCGTGGGAACAATCTCTTCAACAGTAGCAGGCTTTGGATTGTCATGTTCATGGTTCGGAACATCCATACTTGTAGCGGCAACAACATCCGTTCCGAATTCGTCAGGCGTTTCTCCATCTTGAACCTCCTCTGCCAGATCGTTGGAAGGCGCAGAGTCAGGCTCGTCTTCCACCAATGTAGCCGCATGGTCATTTTCCAGCTTTGGTGTCTCGTCCTCAGTAGGAGGAGATGCCAGGTCCATTTGTTCACTAACGGAGATTGCGGGATTGTTCAATGGTGCTTCCTTTTCGGAGCCCTCGGAGAGTTGGTCTGTGGCCTCCTCCTCACCAGTTACCACATCACCAGCACCAGTAGTTCCATCCTCTGCTGTTGACATTGTATCGGCTACTTCAACTGCATCGACCTGATTTGAGGCGTCGACTGTTGTTGGCTGCTCCGAGTCAGTTCTTACGACTGGTTCGGTTATTGGTTCCTCCCCATCAGCCTCGTTTGTTGTTGTCATGGCACTCTCGTGGTTTTCGGCTTCCATGATGGCCTCTTCCACGTCTTTTTCATTCGAGGTTGTTGTTGGTGGATCTGTTGTCTCCTCTTGATCGTCCGGTTTGTTGCTGTGTTGCACCTCGCGTTCCTCCACGTGTTGTTCCTTCATGGGCAGGTTTTCCTCGGGATATTCTCCTTCTTGGTACGAATTGCCTTTGCTGCCCACCGAAATCTCACTGTCTTCAACGGACTGTGCCTGGTCAATGCTGGAAACATTCAGTACCGGCACCGGCCGTTCTTCCTTGGCAACTTCTTCTGTCGAAATGTCTTTCTCGTTGTGATTCACATTGTCTCCATCTTTGGTGGTGCCTTGAGTACTGACAGTACGGGTGTCCTCCTGGTTGTTGTCGCTGCTACTGTTGGCTTCGTCTCTAGAAGTCTCTACGGTATGGCTATCGCAACCTTCCTTGGATGGACTCGCTGCAACTGAGTTCTCAACGGGTGCGTCATCGACGACGGGTGCACCTTCCTGGGCTGCCATAGTGCTTCAATTCCTTTCAATCAAATCGATCTCTCCCGATTCTTTCTGCAGGCGAAAAATGACTTGACCCTTTCAAGACGTTTGTTGATGGCAAAAGGACAATGGGCTGATGGGAGATTTCAAATGCAACAGACGGAGCAACCCCCTCACCAAATTCTTGACAACGTGGACGAAAGGGCTGTTGACAGCTTTTTCAACGGAACAAAAAATGAGGCTTTAGCGACATTTGTATCGTAGCCTGACGTGGGAATTGGTGTCAAGTCTTCTAATCGCGAAACGAGATACGTTCCCGCTGCAGCCAAACCAGCTCGAAGTCACAACATGTCGGGATACCATAATCATAACAGCTACTAGTACATGTGTGCTGTACTGAGTATTATCATAATGCCATGCCCTCCTCTATTGTTTTGTACCAGGTACCTTCTTCATTGCTAAATACCTGAAGCCTTTGCTATGCCACCCAACCACACTGCTACCTTGCCTCCTTCCCTCTAGCTAGCCAGTAGCCAGGACAACGTCAACACCCTTCCACAACTGTCCCAGTTTTCTGCCTCTTCAACGCCATCCTTCCCCACATCCCATGCCCTTCCCCCCAACCACACAGATGGCCCATTCTCTCCAACTAAATTTGTAACTCACGCCAGGCTGCAAGGCCTATCAAGTGCTGTATACACCCACACCTGTCAGCAGCACCTTCAGGTTTGCTTGCAACTGGCTGCTCCTGAGTTGAGTCTACCAATGTCATCTGCCCCTCCTTCCTCTCACACTACACTGCCACTCCCCTCAGACCTACAACAGGTATTTCCCACACATTCACCTTCCAGATGATGATACCTTTCAACTCATCTATCAACAAAAGATTTGTCTGCCCATCCTCCGTTTGGCCATCTCCAACCAACCTTGTCACCAGCACTGCCTTGTCAACTATGTTGACCATTTCCTACATTGCACCCACTACAGCAAGAAGGTTTCAGTGATGGCATCTGTGATATCCTCTTCCAACTTGTCTCCCACCTTGCCCCCTTGCTGGTGTCACCCCATCCAAAGATAGAGTCACATGTGAAACATCAGGCCTCCTTGACTTCCAGGGCTTTCCCAACCAGTGCCTAGCAGATGTTGGCATTGAGCTTCAAACCTGCAGCCCTCCATCATCCTTCCCTGCCACATGTCACTTTCTTGGCAATCGATGTAGCCATCACCAGCCCTCCAGAAACCACTTGTGCCTGCTCTGCCCATCAACCCAAAACCCTTTTACAGGCCCACCACAAGTCCATCCAGAGTATGCTAACTGTCAAGCATTGCACTGTCCCAGCATACGGTACTACTTCACTGCTCTCCAAACAGCAGGCATCATTCTCCTCCATTTCGCAGTTGACCCCTTCCTCGGTCTAGGTCCTTTTGCTCAGGCCTTCCTGTATGGTTCTCACCGCCAAGCCATTCCTACCCATGATGCTGTCTGGGTCAACAAGGTTCTGCCCCACTCCAAGACTGCATTCACACAGTTACGGCCAGCCATCAAAGCCTTGCTGCCACATGAGGACAGAAACTACGCACTGCCCAACTCCCACTATACATCTCTTCGCAGCCCTACTCCCCATCATGCTGGGCTCACCATTCCCTTGCACTCAATCTGTCTACATGCCTTGAACTTTATTTACAGCGAGCCATGACGTGCCAGTGGCACTTTCTCGACACATCTGGAGACGGGCCATCCTTCTTGGTCTTGGTGGGCCCATTACACCACTTGATCCATTGCCACATTGTTTGCAAGGGGGCGCCACCCAGGCCCTGTTTACCACTGTCTCACAGAAGAGGGGAGGTGATGGACCTTGCAGGCACTGGATTTCTCCATCCCCCGGTAGAGCGCAAGATATGTCCGCTAATGCCCAAACGCACGATGATGGCAGATGATGTCAATGGCTGCAATCCCCACGGTTCGGACACCTCCAGTCATACTGGTAGGCATTGGCAGGAATGCCATCATGTCACCCCCTTTTCATGTAATTCCAACTTCGTTAATATTATCATCATTATGGTACCATGGTTGGAATATCCTGCCTATATCGATACTGCAACAAGAGACCTACGTGTACTTCTTCTGCCACTACTATTATCACAAATAGAGTCTTTGCAGTAAGAAAGCTCCACCAAGCCGCCAATATTGACAGTATTCCACCTCCACCGACCATCATCACTGACGAAGGGATTATGGTGCATCAAGCCGATCCTTCCACGACGGGCAATGGCTTGGGGTTGGTCTGGGGAAGTGTCCTGTGGCCTTCGGGAGTGAGTTTGGCCAAGTATCTCTCGTGGAGGGGATGTGGCTTTATACGATCGAAACGAATTTTGGAATTGGGATGTGGCACGGGCATTGTCGGATTGACACTGGCCAAGAACTTGCAAGCCCAACATGTCACATTGACCGATTCGGAATCGGCCTTGTGGCCCGTTTTGAGAAGGAGTATCGATGCCAACCACATTCCACAGGACAGCGTGTCGATTCATGAACTTGATTGGAGAGATCCGAGTACCTTCTTGTTGACGACCAACAAGAGCAATACACAACAGCAACGGCAGCCAGTGGATCTCGTGGTGGCCGCCGACGTTTTGTATTCCGGAATGGACAAATTGTTTGCTCGCGCATTGGCAGCTCATTTGCCGTCCTTGTCGGAAACGGGAAATGATGATGATGCCACTAATACTGCCGAGGCCATTATTGCCTGTCCCTACCGATCCGATTCTCCTCTAATGGGATTCTTTGAAGCTTCCATGCGGCTGGGTCTCGAATTTGACAGACTGGAAAATAATCAAGGACAAGCGGTAGGATCCTATCACGGAGTGGACTGTGCCAGTGCCTTTGATGGCAGCCAGTTTGTCCCGCTAGAAACCAAGCATCAGTTGCAACATGTGGCGGGGCAACCAACCTTTTCATCCGTCAACGTCAAACAAGTGCAGATATTTCGGGCTCGTCGTGTCCACGGGACGGCGACAGAAGCGGCCAGTATTCGAAGGGTGGGCCGGATCTAGGAAAAGCATCATCACTCGTTGGTAGGTTTGAGAGTGCTTTGACATGGAACGACTCGATCAATCAGCAATGGAGAGTGCCAAACGCGATTCAAGAAAGTGCTATCCTTTACAATCTATAAACCTTGGAGCAAGTATGAAACAGCAAGTGTGTAGAAAGGAGGTTTTAGAATATAATCACCAATACGCTGGAAGTGTTCCACTCAGCTTGATGGATCACAACATCAGGCCAAGCTTGCGGGTGTTTCCATAGTGGTGTAAGCTTTCTGGTTCCCTGCTCGTGTGCCACTGTGCACTAGAATCGAATCCTTGAGTGCGCGCTTCAGGAGCGACGAAAAAAATGGTGTTCATTTTATGCTTGAAGGAAGCGAGCTGTATTGCTAGCACTAACATGTCTTGACAACGGGAACTTGATCTTCATTTCCACCGCAAAGCTCCACAAGATGGAGCACGCCTTCGTGTGTGCTTCCTCTGTATCATTTAGCTTGGATCACGTTGAGATTGACATGGGGGAAGCAAGGGTAGGAGGTAGGAGTCCACGAGCATCTTGTTGTCATGCATGTACTAGTATCCAATTGCCACCGGTACCGTACCGGTATTAACGACAGCACGTAATCCGACTGCCAGCACCTAGCTACGGTAGCAAGAATCTCCATGCTCAACCGAATTGTCCATGAAAAACTTGCCAATCCAGATAACCATTCTGTCATGTGATAAAAGTTCAAAGGCGTTCAAGTAGGACCGATGGTCTCAGGCGTTGTGGGCATCATGACAGCTTTCTGTGATGTGGAGATCCTGTTGTGGCCGCTACGGTACTGGTACAACTGCAACTCGTTTTGGCTGCGGTCGTTTTTGGAATGATCGAATGATAATCGAATGCATTATTGCATTCGAATTGAACCATTCAATCTCCATATACCTTCGGCATCACGAGAACCTGTCCTTCGTCCGAGAGAAAAGGAACCAAGATAGCGCGTTTCTCATCAACCAATCAAAAGCCACAAAGCCTCATGTCTTTTCCTTCTTCGACCACCTGCCTTTCTGTCATTGCATTCCAACCCACCAACAGGCGAGAGACACAACCAACCAAACCAACAACATCATCATCCATCAAACAGCCGAGTTTCTTTTGTGGATCCTCACAAATCGAACAGCATCTAGCTAGCTAGCCAACAACCTAGCTATCCAGGAGACCGAAGAGAAGATACCCGATTTTCAAGTCAAGGACGAGATACCCACCGGATACCCCACTCGTCGAATCAGGAAGATAACGAATAGAGTCAATTGAATTCATCATTATGACGAGACTACCTTCTCATCTCCTCGCGGTGGCGACCCTTTCCCTCTGTGGCCAGGCATGGGCCTTTACGACCCCTCGTGCTCCAACACGACAACTTTTGTCCAGCCTCGCTGCAGTCCCCGTGACCAACGAACATGTGTTGAGCAATGGTGGTGGAGTCCCCGTGGTCGCTGCTGGCGGCAATTCACTGTTTGATCCCAACGAGGCAGGCAAGTTGGGGGATACCGATATCTGCTTAGAACGCATCCAACAAGGATCTTCCTATCAATTCCTGACGTCCACTAGTGAACCCGCCATGGAGGCCCCTCCTCCCGGTGTCGATGTGGTAGATGCTCAGCATTGGCTCGAAGATATTGATCTCCCTCTCAATTTTGCCAAACCTCAAAAGCCGGCCATTGCCACTGTCTTGGGTCGTCAGCGTATTATTACTGCCGACGCTCCTGGAGATATTCAGCACGTGGTCTTGAAGTTGCCCGAGGGCATGCATTACTTTGAAGGACAATCTCTTTCCGTTATTCCCCCTGGACTCAATGAAAAGGGAAGGCCTCATAAGCCCCGTCTCTACAGTATTGCCAGTACGCGCTATGGAGATCTTCTCGATGGAAAGACAGTGTGCCTTTGTGTGAGGCGTGCCGAATTTGTCGATCCCATTACGGGACAAGTGGATCCGGCCAAGCAGGGAGTCTGCAGCAACTTTTTGTGCAATGCCGAACCAGGAACACAAGTCCAAGTGGCGGGACCTGTCGGAAAGACCATGCTCTTGCCAGAATCGCCCGACACGGATATCATCATGGTCGCTACGGGGACCGGTATTGCCCCCTTTCGAGGATTTTTGCACCGACTTTTCATGGAAAACACCGTGGCCAGGCACATGTTTTCGGGCAAGGCGTGGTTGATTCTAGGCGTCCCCGTCACTGGTGGACTCTTGTATGCGGATGAATTCAAGTACATGGAGTACAACGCTGCCACTGGTGCTGCTTCAGGAGAATTAGAAGTCGACTACGCCATTAGTCGAGAAATGAAAAATGCTCAAGGAGGAAAATACTATGTCCAGGATGCCTTGGCAGAGAGAGCCGATGAACTCTTTAACCGATTGGAAAACGGAGCTCACATCTACTTTTGTGGATTGAAGGGAATGATGCCTGGCATCTTATCTGCCTTGGAAGAGGTTGCAGCCTCCAAGGGCATTGTTTGGGCCGACAAGCTCAAGGAGCTCAAGTCCAAGGGTCAGTGGCATGTGGAGGTCTACTAGCTGCCCAGACGAAATGCGCAAAAAAAGAACCAATCCATCGACAAGAAATAACCCCGCACAAAGTACAAATATTTCACAGGTAAGTGAAGCAGAAAAGAAAAAGAGGAAACAAAACTACACTGTAAGCTAGCCTCGAAGACGGAAATGTTTCAATTGGCAGCAGGCTGGGTTAGAATAGAGCAACTGCTAGCCGACGATATTATTGTTTTGATATTGTTGATGTTCTTTCCATTTTTAGAATTGTTGTTGACCAGCGCGGGTTATTGGGAGGAGGGTGAGCCGAACGCCTGCCACGATCTTGGTTGGCTGAAGACTTTGGCTGATCAGATCTTTGTGACACTCCAGGCGCGCAGGTTTTCCGAGACGTCCCTCGTGGCATCAAGTTCCCACCAAGCAAACTCGATCTAAATCGTAACATTTTTAGGTTGGTCTCTGCTGTTGAACCGCTACATGTACAGGCAGCCCCAAACGTACTCTCGTCAGTCAATGCAATCCGAAACGTATATGTTCACTGTCTCTTCAGTCGATGCATCTGACAGATCCCAAGCCACCCCATATTTCGTCATAATTCGGCTTTGCAGCAACGAAACAAAGCAACCACGCGAAACTCTTTCTTCCGCAACAGTCTTTTATGGTGAAGTTCAACATGCAGGGAGGAGACGACATTTTGGGAGGCTTGGGGGGTATCCAATCCCTTGGTATCATGAATGCCCTCAAGACAAATGATCCTCGCACCGACATGATTGTGGCGCTCTGTTTGCCGTTTGCTCTGCGCTACATTCTGGAGTTCTTGAAGAAGGTCTCGCCGTACCTCGATATTGACTACTGGAAAGCGTGGTGGGCCGGAGAGGACGAGACCACAAACTATCATGAACGCACTATTTCACACGCCTCTTCCAAAAATATGTACGGTGAAACTATCGACCTCGACGAAGATTCGCACAACTCGGTTCTCATCAAAGCAATTCGGTTGTATTGCCACACCAATGTTGACCTCAATTTGCGCAAGGCAGACCTAAGCCTCACCACAGTTGAAGACGAAACCCACGCAAACGATTGCTACTATGGCCAGTCCATTGTCAACTTGCTACAGTGCTATAAAATGGTGAAGAATCCACCCGAAAAGCAATGGCACAAGTTGGGAGTGTTTGGGGCTGAGAAGAACGGTGCATCCTTCGTGGAACTTCAGATTAGCTCTGAATCTAGCGACTCCGAGGACGGGGACAACAAAAACAAAAAGAGCACGCGCAACACGACCTACACGCTCCGTTCGTTGGATGGTTCGGCCCTGGATACCTTCCTCGATACAGTTTACAGCTGGTATATCAAAGAGCTCAAGAGAAATGAAGATCATTCACGATACTACTACGATTTAGAGAGCAAAGCCGTTGGCGACACCTCAGAGCAGCGTTACTACAAACGATTCCGTTTGTCAGAAGAAAAGACCTTTGAATCTTTGTTCTTTCAAGAGAAGAACGGTATGCTGAAACTTATCAATGACTTCATGGAAAAGAAGGTATGGTAGCTTCCGCCCTCAGTTCTTGGTGATGTCTCTTGTTCTTTCTGTATCACTTATCTGTTCTAATGACGCCTCTTCTCATTCTCCTTTTCCAGGGTAAGTACGCCATCAAGGGGTATCCACACAAGCTTGGTTTGCTGTTGACTGGGCCACCGGGCACCGGTAAGACCAGTCTCATCAAAGCCTTGGCACAATACACGGGTCGAAGCATTGTGAATGTCCCGCTTTCCAAGATCTCCACCAATGCCGAACTCATGTCGCAATTCTTTGACAAGAAATACCGAGTCCGAGGCGAGATCACGGCGCAGTTGGATTTCAAGGACGTTATCTTTTGCCTGGAGGATCTTGACGCGGCTTCTGACATTGTCAAAAGACGTGATGGCAAGGCCAAAGATGCTGACAACGAATCCAGCAATATCGCTGCCATGACAGAAGACATCATGGCACAGATCCCTCCTGCCAAGTCGTTGTGGCATCTCTTCTTGGAAAGCTCTGATGAGTCCTGCCAGGAACTGGTAAAGTTGCTTTCGGAGAAATCGGAGCGTCTCAAGGCTGAAGCCCAAAAGGCGGACAAGATTCAATCCGTTGCTGACTGTCTTGCTTCTCTACGTCCCGGGCTGGGTTTGGTTGGTGCCAACAACGAAGTACTTCGCCAGCTGGGCGAGGACGCGTTGGCGTCCTTCCAGGAGAAAATGTCCAACCAGGAAAACATAGACACGTACTTGAAAACCCAAGCCCAAACGATGAAGCGTCTGTTGCGAGGTGGCGCCGAGATTGACGAAGCTGTGGTGGACACATTGCTCAGTACTGAAGAACCAATGTTGTTTCCAACGAAGGGAGTTACAAAAGCTGCAAGCCGGGACGACGACGATGAGGATGACTATGACGATTCCCGTCAGGAAGGATTCTGGGGCGAGGTTCGAGCAGCTTCAAGCGACTCGAGCAGCACCGACAAGGCCGGCAAGAAGGGCATGTTCCCCGCCGGCTCTTGGGCGAGGTTCATTCCTGACAGTCTGAACTTGACGGGTATCTTGAACGCACTCGACGGCGTCGTGGATTGTCCTGGCCGAATTGTGATCATGACCACCAATCACCCCGAGAAACTGGACAAGGCATTGATCAGACCGGGCCGGATTGATAAGCAGCTGTACCTTGGATACATGGCTGGCCTTGATGTCATTGCCATGCTGGAGCACTATTTCGAGACCGAGTTGAGTGAGGGACAACGTGAGCGTGTGAAAAAGCTTGTGTCTGGCATCGAGGGAAGCACAGCTCCGGTCTCCATGACACCTGCTCAGGTCGAACAGCTCACAGCCGAGCACGATGATCTCGAAGACATGGTTGCGGCTTTGGAAGCAAAAGCTGTCCCTGTCCAAAAGCTGGCAGTCCTTGCCGGTGGTAGCCCCTGAAGATTGCGTCGAAACACTCTTCCTTCGTAAATCCAGTCGCTGCATACGTGTGATAATCTTGTTGTCGCTGCATACGTGTGCTGCGGTAGATTCCAATTGATAATCTTGTTCCGGTCTCTCCCGGGCGTGCTTTGGGCCCTGGGACGACGTGTACCGGATACCGGTACCGGGTACAGTACCAGTAGTACTTGGCTAAAGACCGAGGTCCAAACTTCGTTCGCCGTCCAATAAGGTTAAAGTTACACTTCCGAAGATCCAAAGATACCCTTCTGACGTTGATCGTTCCGTGTGGAACGCAAAGGAATTTCTGGCTTTTGATCTCTTCGCTCTTGCAAGAGGTCTGAGATGGATTGACGATGAGGTTCAGCTTCCGCCAAGTAACCATCACATCATTGCAACTCCACCCACTTCAATTAGCGTACGATTGACAAGCAAGAGAAGGAAGACTTCGTATGAAAATTCCTTTCCTGGCTGTCTGCTTCGTTTTGGCTCATAGTTTCTCAGCGAACTGCGTTGATAGCTTCCTCCTGAATTCAAGACTTAGTCCTGTTACAAACAGGCAATCTCGCGACAGACTCTTGAAATTATCTCCATTTAAACTTGCAGCAGAGGCCAAGACAAACTCTCAAATAACCATGAGTTCAACTACTACCAAAGGAGACGGGAAGTTTCATTTCGCCATTGACCGTGGTGGTAAGTAAGCATGATGTGGATTCAATAGTTTCTTTGTTTCCCGTGTTTTTTCAGCGTGCCTCATTTTTCATTCTTCTCCCAAGGAACCTTTACCGACATTTTTTGCAAGCTCCCTGATGGCAGTGAAATTGTGAGCAAACTTTTATCGGAAGACCCTGCTCATTATCCCGATGCCCCAACCGAAGGAATTCGACGCGTGTTGGAAGAACATGATAAGGAACGTTCCTACCCTCGTTCGCAGCCTGTGCTTACATCTCAAATTGGATCCATTCGCATGGGGACCACAGTGGCTACCAATGCCTTGCTAGAACGTGATGGTGCTCGCATGGCATTAGTGATTACCAAAGGATTTGGCGACGTTTTGGAAATTGGCAATCAGTCTCGTCCCGATATTTTTGATTTGACCTGTGCCAAACCATCCTTGCTCTATGAAAAAGTGGTAGAGATTGAGGAGCGAGTCGTCTTGAGTCAGTTTTGCCCTCCTGCTTCCAGTGAGAGTTGGAAGGAATACCCTCGCCATGTCGGATTGACCGGCGAAGAAGTGCAGGTATTGCAAGAACCGGATTTGAAAGCCATCCAAAAGGAACTGGAAGCTCTGCGCGATCAAGGAGTCATAGCATTGGCCATTTGTTTGATGCATTCCTACACATATGCAGCTCATGAACAAGCTATCGGAAAACTTGCTGCTTCCATGGGTTGCTTTTCACAGATTTCACTGTCTAGTGAAGTCATGCCCATGGTCAAACTTGTCAGTCGGGGCCACACCTGCTCGGCGGCAGCGTATCTGACACCCAAAATCAGCACCTACCTGGCTTCATTCAAGAAAGGCTTTGATGTGGATCTTGGCAAAGTACCATTGACCTTTATGAAATCAGATGGAGGATTGGCTCCTGACGGGGGATTTGGTGGTCATCAGGCCATTTTGAGTGGACCTGCCGGTGGAGTTGTAGGATACGCAAAGACATCTTTCAATCCAAAGGATCAGATTCCCTGCATTGGATTCGATATGGTGCGTCAATGTCATGTTTTGCCTTTTCTGTTTTCTGGTGATGGATCTGACTGATGATAATACTCTCGTTCTTATTCAGGGTGGCACGTCGACGGACGTCTCTCGCTACGACGGACAGTGGGAGTTAACTTTTGAAACGGTGACAGCAGGAGTGGCCATTCAGGCGTAAGTTTATGATTCTTTGGTTCAATGCATTGTTTCGGCGTGGTCTCACTGTTGCGTGTGTCTGTCTTGGCAGCCCTCAGCTTGACATTCATACTGTTGCTGCTGGAGGAGGCAGTCGGCTTTTTCTCAAACGCGGAATGTTCATCGTCGGACCTGAGAGTTCTCGAGCTCATCCCGGTCCTGTCTGCTACCGAAAGAATGGGTACCTTGCAGTGACAGACGCCAATGTAGTCTTGGGACGTGTGGTGCCAGAATATTTCCCATCCATCTTTGGACCCAACGAAGATGAACCTCTGGATGTCGAGGGTGCGCGCAAGGCCTTTGCCGAGTTGACAAAGCTCCCGGAGGCTGCAGGTCGCTCGGCAGAAGAGCTTGCCTACGGATTCTTGCAGGTTGCCAATGAGGCCATGTGTCGGCCTATTAGAAATTTGACCCAAATGAAAGGTTTCGACATAACCACCCACAAATTAGCATGCTTCGGTGGCGCTGGGCCTCAGCATGCTTGTGCCATGGCCAAAGCATTGGGAATGAAAAAGGTGTTTGTCCACAGATATGGTGGGGTCCTTTCAGCCTATGGCCTCAGTATGGCAGACGCAGTCAACGAGGAACAAGAACCAGCCGCTGAAGTCTACCAGGGGAAGATCAGCGCTTCTGGAGAGGAGAGACTGACCCATCTGGCAGAAAAGGCAAAGGCAGCGTTGATTGCCCAAGGGTATGATGAGCCCTCAATTGTCGTTGAAAGATATATCAACATGCGATACGAGGGAACAGACAATGCCATTATGATTAAGGAATGCAGCGACAAGACATTTGAAGAAGCGTTTGAAGCGTTGTACATGCGAGAGTTTGGGTTCAAACTGCAGGGCCGCGAAATTCTGATTGATGATTACCGCGTCCGGGCTTTGGTTCCAGGAGAAACTCCAGAAATTCTCGACGATCCACCATCGATCGGGTCGCCCACTGCCGTAGGGTCTGCTCGTGCTTACTTTGAAACTGGATGGCAAGAAGTTCCGGTGTATAAAGTTGAAGACTTGAAACCGGGCCATACAGTCGAAGGACCCAGCATCATAATCCAACCGATCAGTACTGTGGTCCTTGAGATAGCCTGCAAGGCATTCGTCACTGGTAATGGTGACCTCGATATTGCAGTCGAAGATCCTCACGCTCAGGAAAATCACACCGAAGGCGGCGGGCCTGTCGAGATCAAGGAAGACCCTGTGAAGCTTTCCATCTTTGCACATCGGTTTATGGGGATCGCCGAACAGATGGGACGTACTCTTGCCCGAACTGCAATCTCTGTCAACATAAAGGAACGATTGGACTTCTCTTGCGCTCTTTTCACTTCTGACGGCGGGCTTGTTGCCAACGCTCCGCACATCCCTGTTCACCTTGGTGCCATGCAATCTGCCGTCCGTTTCCAGGTGGAGTATTGGAACAGCGAAGGACGTGAGGGCATCAAACAAGGCGAGGTCTTGGTGTCGAATCACCCACAGCTGGCTGGTGGTTCTCATTTGCCCGATATTACTGTGATCACTCCTGTGTTCCATGAAGGAAAGATCATCTTCTTTGTTGCCAGCCGCGGTCACCACGCCGATATTGGTGGAATCGCTCCAGGAAGTATGGTACGTAAATTCTCTACGTCCACGATTTTGAATCTCTTGTCATCTCACTCCTGTCAACATTTCGTGCTACCACCAGCCTCCTCATTCCAAGTGCTTGGAAGATGAAGGGGCAATGATTGTTGCGTTTAAACTTGTGAAAGATGGCAAGTTCCAGGAAGAAGGGATCACGGAAATCCTCAACTCGCCAGGCAAGATCAAGGGTAACTTTGGTACTCGCAACTTGAGAGACAACTTGAGCGATCTGAGAGCGCAAGTAGCAGCAAACAATTCCGGAATTCGCCTTTTGACTGAGCTAGTCAGAGAGTACGGTCTTGTAAGTGTTGAAGCCTACATGAAGTTTATCCAGACGAATGCCGAGTTGTCGGTGAGAAACATGTTGAAAGAATTTGCTTCAAAGCACGGCACAAAATCCCATGCCATCGATTACATGGATGACGGAACACCTATCGAACTGACGATTGACATCAATCAAGACACTGGAAGCGCCGTTTTGGATTTCACCGGAACAGGCCCGCAGGTTCTCGGGAATCACAACGCCCCCCCTGCCGTCACCTACAGTGCTGTCATCTATTCCCTTCGGTCGCTGGTCAAACAAGACATTCCATTGAATCAAGGCTGTCTTGCTCCAATCGAATTTGTCATTCCTCGGTATAGTTTGTTGAATCCAGATGCCACCGCTGGAGTGGTAGGGGGCAACGTGCTGACTTCTCAGCGAGTGGTTGATGTCGTGTTGCGTGCGTTCAAGGCGTGTGCTGCCAGTCAGGGCTGCATGAACAATTTAACTTTTGGCGACAAAGAGTTTGGATACTACGAGACCATCGCGGGCGGAGCTGGTGCTGGACCAACTTGGGTGGGACAATCCGGCATCCACACACATTGCACCAACACGCGCATCACCGATCCGGAAATCTTGGAGAGAAGATACCCCGTTCTGCTTCGACAATTTGCCTTGAGGCGTGGTAGCGGTGGCGCTGGATTGCACAAAGGCGGCGACGGAGTGATCAGAGAGCTGGAGCCTCTTCGGCCACTGGTGATGAGTATTCTCAGCGAACGTCGCACCCTTCGCCCGTATGGGATGGCTGGTGGTATGGACGCAGCCACAGGACGCAATCTATTGGTTCGCAAGAATGGAATCGTTGTCAACATGGGAGGGAGATGCAGTGGTTCAATGGATACAGGCGAAAGACTTCGCATTGAAACCCCTGGGGGTGGCGGCTACGGAACTCCAGCCACTTCCAGCTAGTCAGAAACTTTTGTAGGATCCGTGTCGATGACTTGCTTTCTGGATTACTTGGGTAGAAATCAGTTGGATAATTAGCTTGGTTTGCACCATCTAAACTTATATGAACGTGACCGAGACCAGACGATGACACTTCTTGGGAGCACTGGCGGGGGACACCACCCATCAGCCTCCTCTTTCTCTACCTGCATTCAAAGCATTTCTTTCTCCTGCAGAGGATGCAGTTGCCAAAGCGGGTTTCATTTTGAGATGATATTGCAGTGCAAAGGGTCGATATTTTGCTCCAAGTCCTGGCCGTTGCAAGCGAGGACGAGCATAGCTTCTTCGGGGTGGCCTGATCCGCTTGCTAAACTCGGGTTTGCTTCATTCGCGATGATTGCGACACCAATATTATTGACGCAGTCCGGGCCATTCTGAGCAAGGACCAGTACAACCCACATCGCGATCGCCTACAAAGTGTAGTACCGTAGGAGAGGAATTTGAAATCAGCAGGAAGTCGAGAAAGGGAAGCCCGAATTGAGGGCGCGACGTTCGGCCTGTTGCCTTTTCTCCCAAATGCGGCGTGGGATGATTGGCCACCGGTAAGCCGGCCTAATGGACTCCGCGTGGTTGATCGTACTACTGACAATCCCCTCCCAGAGATTCAAATACAACCAGGTTAGTTTTCCATTTAGCTATAACTGTATCCTTCTCAATCCTACAGGTGACTATGGCAGCTCCAACATGACTCCAGCTACCTGTAGTCCACCAGACGAGCTTGCTTGACACATGTACTGTGCCCTGCTCATGATCAAGCTGCCTTCTTTGAAGGGTTTGCTTGGACCACCATCGACAATCTTGGGAGCATACCAGCCTTGTAAAACCCCAAGAAGAGCAGCACCACTGTTGATATAGGATTGGCCATGTTCAGCAACTCCTTGGACACCAAACCGTTGCTCTGTCCCTGCATGGCAGGACGAATGACCACATTGACAGCCACACCTATTGCGGTCCAGAGGACATACTTGTTCATGCCAAGACCAAGGCGAAGCATTGCAGCAACATTGCCAACAAGATTGATGGCCTGGGGAGTTTCCGGTCCCTCTGATGTATCCCTGATGCTAACCCAAACTGCAGTCAGGAACCCGACTCCAAGCATGCAAGCATACACAGCAATTCCAGCTTCATGTGAAAGAAGGTTTTTCGCCTGAGTGTCATGAGGAATGCATTCATCTTTCCAAAGGGGTTAAAGGAAAAGTGAGGACAGTGGTGTGCAGGCAGTGGCATACTAAATTTGACTGCATTGATGGATTGCTTACTTGAATGACGAAGGCATGTATCAAAAGTGCACCAGAGCGACGTGCGACGGTACTGGTGCCACCATATAGACAAGCAGCTGCACAGCTGCACCATGAAACTGCATTACGGAGAAAAAGAACTTGAGCAACTTGTTTGTCTGAAAGCCCCTAATAGTTCCAGATGGATACATTGTCGATGCCGATGCAATGTCTGCCGCAGTGAGACACGCCAGAACAATGGCAACGTTCCAAAGATAGTTGGGAGGAAGGCCATTCAGGTTTTCACAGTACTGCAACAGAGGGAAAGCCAATGAGTGGCATAGGAAAACTAGAGAATGCAGCCTGTACTCTGGCCAAATTCTGTAGCCCGTGTTGATACGGCGTTCAGGGATTCTGAATTCAAAGGAACTCAGATTGAGTAAAAGGTGCAGCAGAATAGTTGGAACAGTCAATTTAGGATAGGAAACAAAAGCCATGTCAGAGTTGTTGATTGTGATGCCATACACAATCCTCCAGGCAAAGGAAGCCAAGCATAGCATGCCTAGCGTTTTATGGAGGTGTCTGCTATCTTCTTTGGTGAACAGCTTCTTCCAAAAGGAGACCTGAGACACATTGTCGTTTTGAGCAACAACTTGTTTCATCTTGAATTGCAGTGGTGTTGAGTTGGATTGATGTTGGTGTGTGATAAGAGGGCAGATCAATCTTATGATATGCTTGAATGCTGAGATCTAGCTGTTTGGTTTTCAACTTTCTTTCTTGAGTATGAGCTCTTCTGAGCTTATCTACTTCTTAATCTTGCGACCTATGCATACTGTACATACTGGTAGGTCTTGTTCCAAACAAAAAGGTCCGAATACTGCGTGCTTTGGTGTGGGAGTAGGGCTCAGTCACAGGACAGCGGAGCGGCAAAGTGAGAGAATGTTTTGACCCTAACCCTTTAATCATTCTGGATCCTGAACCCTCAACAAACCGGCGGGGCTCGCCAAACAGCCGGAGGTGCGAAAGAAGATTATTTCAATCAGCGCTGACTGATGACATGGGTACAGTCAGCTATCGGTACCCATACCGGTAGCCTTCTGTGGGAAAGATGATGAACAACAACGGCAATAACAGGGTCGTCAATGCAAGCATAAGGGCGGAAGATACTCCCAAAGAAGCTGATGTGCATTCACAGCTCAAAGAACAGGCTTCCCAGGTTGATGGGTCGGCCCATGGTCTGGGGATCCTCTGCGATTCCGAGGCCGACGACCAAAACACCGTGAAGCCAGAACTTGATGAAGCCGTGGGAAACTTGGGAAAAAACGAGTCTAAAGAATGCTCTGATGCGGAAGAAGGAGAAGCAGTTAAATCAGATGCTTTATCCAAGTCTTTGCTTGAAGAAAAGGTGTCAGCTGAGGAAGAAGAAACCGGTCTAACAGCTGCTGCATCAGACCCAAAGTCACTAGATGTTGAGGCGGCAATAGTGCCCGAAGACGAAGGAAATGCCTTACTGAGCCAATCTCGAAAGGATGCCGCTGGCAAGAAGGAATGCAAGAGAGGCCCGGAACGAATCGACAAGAACTTGGGCGTGGATGAGCAGGATTATGTTGATAGTTTCAAAAATCGGGAAGGGGAGAGAGAGCAAGTTCTGAACGAAGACATCTATAGCGTGATTTATACAGCTGACGCAAGGAGTCAAGCCTTCTGTTTTGCAATGTTTGTTTTTGTGGTGCAGCTATCGGTGATTTGGCTGATCTTCTTTGATTTACTGGACACACATTCCGACAACAACAAGATTAGTTTGCCTCCTGGAGTCCCCATCATGGTCAATTTGGCGCAAGCAATTGGTGTCCTTTTGATTGTGTTTACGGTGGCGGTTTACGGTGACTTGACAACTGGACTCGCGAGATTGATTGACGGCTACGACTCGGATGTCCTCTTCAAGCACCCTGATGCCCATTGCACGAAATGGTTTCTGTCTGGTTTATTCCAAATGACGGTCGGGGCATCAATGACAATGGTCTTGTTCGTTCTGCTGATGCAGAGTACCACAGTGATTGGCATGTGTCTCAACTTTGCTGCCCTTCACTTCGTTCAAGAGATCGACGACCTAAGCTTTGCACTTGGCCAAAAAGGATTCCTGACCAGGTCCATCCAAAAGGACTGCGATCACGTATCACAATTAACAGTCCCTAAAGGTCGAAGACGAGTTAGGAAGAGGGCGAGACGAATCTTTACAGCTGCTCTCACAGTTGCGCTGTACATACCGTATTTTGTGCTGGTTTCGCGCCAATGGCGTGGGGATTATGTCTGCCGAAACCTTTACGTCCAGGTGAGACGCGCCCCTTGGAAGTACATGTATCCTATGCCGTGAATGAAGAATCGTTCTCTAACCTGCCTCAGTTTGGAGATGCGTATCTGCCGGAGCTCGCGTATTTCTCTGGAAGATACACGATTGCCAGTGTGGACTTAGTGAACAGTGTTCGGACAAGGACGGAGTTCCGACCAGTGTACTTCGATTCCTCTGAACAGTTGCGGCTAGCATATTGTGGCCAAGAGTCTGCGTGGGTCTTCTCTCTTCGAAATGCTACTGATCACTGTGACTTCATTGTCAAGAGCTCTCCGACGACGGCGTTCGACGTGGCGAGTTTGAAGGGTAGCACTTGGTACTCATACAACTATGAAACCGAAAATGTGGTTCCAGCCGATTGGTTTTTCATTGGTTGCAACGACTGCGTTAGAGATGAAACTCAGTGTACCGACGATGCAGGGATATGCCTTAACACCGGGGCTTGCGTCTGTCATCCCGGACGCATGGGCATCAACTGCCAGTTTCCAGACCCCACTTGCGACACCCTTACTTTGGACGCACGAACTGATCCGCTGCCTTTGGAGGAGGGCGTGACCTTTCCTGAAAGCTATGGACTTTACAGACTACCAGGCGAAAAGGAAAAGGTGTTCGAGTTGAACAATCACCCAGCTTACCTTTCAAAGTTCCAAAAGGCTGGGGTCAAAAATACCACCGACTTTATGTTCTTTACTGGCAGACGGTAAGTCAAAGAGATCAATCTTAATAAGTAGTTGTCGCTCGTTTTTTGACGAACTCACATGAACCAATTTTGGTCCAACAAGGTGGGTCATTTTTTCAGCACGTCAACCAGGCGAGACAATACCCGAAAGTACTTCCTCGTCTCAAACCCATCCTGCACTTCCAAACCGCTACGCTGAAATGTTGATTGCGAAACTCTTCGAACGTATTCCGAATGAGACCCACTCTATCGAAAACGCAGACGAGTTCGTCTGGTATTACCGACCCTACTTTTTCAGTGAACCTGTCGATTTTGGAACGCCATCCGACGTTCTGGAACCACTTGGTTTGAATTGGTTCAGGGCCGTTCATCAACATCATGGTCTCGGTTTTGATGGCTGGGTGACTGACGAAAGTCAGCCCCTCCAAACCAACTTTATATGCGCGGAATGCAACGATAGGACGAACCCGTGTTACAACGACTTTCAATGTGAGAACTCGACAGAAACCTGCCTCTGCGATGAATTCTACCAGGGAGCTTTATGTGAGCATCCTCTTCGCTGCGACCAACAACCATGCCATAACAATGGGACGTGTGACGCCTGGAAAGGTTATTGCGAATGTCCAAGTCCATTCTATGGAAGTTTGTGTCAGTACAAGCCCTTGTTCTTGCCTTTGACATGAAAAATGCGAAGGTCTTTGCAATTTGCGGTGAGAGTTTGGGATCACTTGTACCATGGGCGCAAAAGCTAGCTTCTTCTAACTTGGCGAATGTGGAGCAACTATATCTCATAGTCATGGACTACGTTCTTATTCTGGAATCGATTTATCTGCATCTGACATACCCCAGAGACTTTCATTCGTTGTTGTGTAATAAATAATGTACTCGCAATGCGCAGAGCAACCAGAGGCGGCCTTCGTTCACAAGCTCAACTCCAGTCAGGGTAACCCCAATGAAAATAGAATACCCTCCAGCATTATGGACTCCATCGGTCTCCACTCTTTGAAATTTGATGCATTTGCTAACCTAAACATTGTGAGTGTGACCAGGTCCAGGCGCCGCAGCTGCCACGGGAGGAACACCTGGCTGTGCCTGCTGTGCCCAAAACTGCATGGGGTTGAAAGCCACCATCCCAGGAGCTCCAGGAACAGGAACTGGTGCGGGCTGGGGTGCCACCACTGGCATGGCCGGTGCAACTGCTACAGCCGCATGAATGGAAGCGTTTGGATCAGTACCTGCATGAGGATCAGAAGCAGCGGCACCTTGCATGATGGCCTGGAGCATAGCATTAGATCAATTCAAAGGAAAAGCTGTTCAAGCATATATCAAATACTCATCGGGTTACACACCTGTAGAGGCACAATGCTTGGGTATTTGCTTCCAATTTCCATTAGCTGTCGCCTCAACTGCTCATTGCGATCATTCAATCCTTTGTTTTCCCTTGAGAGCGTGATCACAGTGCGCTGCAGCTCTTCAATCATCGTCTTCTTCCTCTTCCGAGATTCCCTCGCAGACACCCGGTTTTGCTCCAGCCTTTCGCGTCGCTTACGATTCTTCGTCTCCTCGTCATCATTCTGGTCTTCAGCTGTCTCATCGACTACTGCGTTGGCTTCAGCTGTCATTGTCCTGCTTCTTTCCAAGGTCTGATGTGATGAAATGTATGCTTGACCTGATGCTTTCTTACGCTTTGGCCTCTCCTTCCGCCTGTGATATCACTGTGACGACGTGGTCTCTTTTGTGGCTTCGTTGTTGAGGTTTGCTGTGATGCCGTGAGCCTTGTGGGTGCACGAAGATTAACGAACACAAGGACATTTGCGCGACACCTACCGGACAGTTTAGAAGGTTGCTTCCACGGCGTGGGTTTACCTAAACCGGTACCTGGTACCGTGGTAGCGCCGAAAGAACGGCGAGCGCAATGCATCAAGCAGCAAGCAAATCACTTCTGACATTGGAAGCCTGGGATAGGGGATACAGCGTAGTCTACTAGCTAGCTAGCTAGTCGTATGGGTAACATGATATATTCATTGATTCAAAGTTACCGCGTTATCGGTCGTGCAGCGAGCGACATATCCACTCGCACAGCTGGAAGCAAAAAAACATGCAATAGCTGCCTAATTCAACAATGCTTTTGTTTCTCTTGTCTTTTTGGGAGTTTTCACCCCTTCCTCGTTCCATAGCTTGCGTTTCACAATGCGAATCTTGAACTCTGTTTTCTCCACTCCCAACTTTTTACCAGTCGACCCAATTGATCGCTTGCCATTGGAACCAGTTGTTGTGGTGGGAGTACGGGTAGCACTTCCATGAACACAAGCGTGGAAACGTTTGCAGAAGGGATGAAAGGTTGCTCCTTCTCCACAGGCTTGACAGCTTTGCATGCAATCGGCACAAAAGGTCGGACATCCGGCATTGTTGCTGCCGGTAGCACACAGCATGCAATGGACTTTCTGGGCACAGTCTTGACACATGAGCGTTGTGCAGCCTTCGCATTGATAGTCATGCTCCTCTCGTAAATGTATCGTTTGGAAGCATACTTCACATTTTCGTTCAAAGTAGCGGTGGAAGATATTATCGTCAAGAGGCGTCATGGCTGACGGAAACCGCTTTGCTGACAGCAATGGGCTACAATCCATTTTATGCGTGGCAGAGGAAAGGCAGCTACCGAGCTCTTCCATTTATACGACAGTAGTAAGAAATTTCCTGGAAACAATGGGAGTGTCAAAAGTATATGAAAGGAATCGGAGAGTGGCGATGAAAATGCCATTTGGTCTGCGCATCTTCTTCCCTTCAAAACCTCTGAAACTTCCTCTTCCAAGCGCATCGAATTGTGTGAACGCAAAAATCTCGACGCGCGAGAGAATTTGAGTCCGCTTAGTCGAATCATGGAGCGAATGAATGGAAGCAACAGCAAAACAGCAGCACGAAGACAGCAAGCAAGATCATTGCGTCTATTGGTTTGGATCAAACAATCCTCATCAGTCAGTCCACCGTAATAGCTATTGCTGAACAGTCTGTCAACTAATATCCACAAGAGCATAGAGAAGAGCATTCGATCATGGCCGGTGTCAATGAATGGGATAATGAATATGCACGCCTTGCACGAGCGGCGTCGCAGCTCCGCACGCAAGGACTGGTGAGCGGCGGAGACCAGCAACGATCTTTGCAACAAGGCTTGCAGCGTCTGGAAGCCCAGCTTCATACTCTCCCTCTTCCACCTGCGGAAATGGAACGACGACGAAGATTGGTGCAACACTTACAGCAGTCCGGTTCTCAACCCGGAACTCCGGCAGGAAGCACCATTGGAGGATCCGGCATTGGTTCGCCGCCTCAGTCGCAAATGGCCATGGCTATGCGTCAACAAGATGGATTGATTGATGAGCTCGCCGCGGGAGTGTCTCGCCTGAAGAATCAAACCCACCTCATCGGTGAAGAAGCCAATATGCACGTCAATTTGATGAATGATATGGAAAATAATTTGGAAGCAGCCCAAGCGGGACTTGAGAGTGAAACTCGTCGGGCCGCGCAACTAAAGCAAGATCAAAGTGTCTGGCGCTTGCAGCTCATTGTGGCGGGAGAGTGCGTCTTGTTTGTCCTGCTAATTTTGATGGGAATTTCGTAGAGATATTTCAAGAAGGAGAATTCCATACAGGAACACGTCTCCGCTGGTGAAGTGGCGAGATGGCAATCAGTCAGCGTGTGATTTTATATGATTTTTGTGTGCCGTCCAGCGGCACTGGTTGCGGCTGATTTGATACGAAATTGAGCAAAATCATGCCAGGCTCGAAAGCCACCCACAATGACATTACATGAATTAGAAAATTTGAATATTTTGTTCCAGTTTGTACCAGTGGAAGAGGTGTGCCACCCCACAATCCGCAATACCAGTAGCTAGCGATTGCTTGCGTAAATGCAGTATCGGTACTCATCGCTGGCTGGTTGATTATCTGGGTTCTGCTCTGTTGTCTTGACAGCATTGCACATAGTGGTGGGTATTCACCATTTGAGGAGGGTGGTGCCATATCAGCAAACGACAATGGGACAGAATTGCCCATTAGCTAGCTATAGTTAGCCGACACAACTTACGGCTACCAGGTCCAATCTCACGGTAGTCCCTCTGGACTCTGGATTTGGTGAGCTTCACATCACGCCGTGTTGGCTGAAACCTGTTGAAACCCAAAAACTTCACTACCCGAGCCTTTCGTGAAGTCTAAGTCAGCGGAAGCTGCGATACCTCGGCAGAAAGCAGATAGAAGAAGGATGACATGTTTGAGATTGCAGTCTTCTTTCAAGCTAGCCCTGACGACAACACCCGACTTCGTCGTGTGTTGCCGCCCAGTGCAGTCGTATCATTCCCTCATTGCAACCTTCTTTTTTATTCTAGCTAGCCCTGGTTTTTATTCTAGCTAGCCCTGGCGACAACACCCGACTTCGTCGTGTGTTGCCGCCCACTAACCATAATTTTACAGCTGTCATTCCCTTATGGAACTGTAACTTTTGTAGCTTGTGCTGGCTTATTGTGTTGAGTGCCCTTAAATTTGTAGAACCTTCAATTAATTTTCAGTTCGGTTGGCTTATGACTATCTCTATCCCTATATTTTGGCTTCACCGGAATAGGAAATAGTAATTAAGTCAGCGGGAGCTGCGATACCTCGGCAGAAAGACAGATAGAAGAAGGGGGATTATATTCGGATTGCACCCATCTTTCAAGCTGGCCCTGGCGACGACACCCGACTACGTCGTATGTTGCCGCCCGGTATCATTCATTCCCTCATTGCAACCTTCTTTTTATTAAGCTAGCCCTGGCGACAACACCCGACTACGTCGTGTGTTGCCGCCCGCTACTCTATAATTTACCAGCTGCCATTCCCTTATTGTAACTCTAACCTTTACAAATCCTGCTGGCTTATTGTGCTGTTGTGTTGATTGCACTAACCTTAAATATTGATGATTTATTCCTATCCTACCCTAACTTGTATTGAACCATCAATGTTCAGTTTGTTGGCTTATGACTATCTCTATCCTTATACTTTGGCTTCACCGGAATAGGAAATAGGAAATAGGAAATAGGATATAGGAAATAGGATATAGGAAATAGGAAATAGGAAATAGCATTAAAGGGGTTGAGAACTCAGGCAGTTTACCTGCCGAGGTAAAGGGGTTGAGAACTCAGGCAGTTAACCTGCCGAGGTAATGGATCAATGGTACCGGTACGAGTACCCGTACACCCGTACCCCAATGCACCCTTGCTTCCTAAGTAAGCTCGTTGAATTGGTTCTTCCTGACCGCTACAAACTCCCTTTGGAAAGGTACCATGTAGAGTGTCTGTATGAGGGCTCTGCGCATACAGCCGTAGTCAGCCATTGGCACACTTGCGTCTGGTAACTTCAACTCCTTTCACGCATGCCACTCAAGCTCATCCCATTGATTCGCGCTGTGTTGTACTATTAATACCGTATTAGGATACGTGATCAAGAAAAAGACCCCGCGACAACATGCATCAATTAAATCAGTTTCCGCTCTCAACACCTTGATGCAAGAGAGAGAGTTGAAGGAAGCAGCCGTCCCATCTCTAGCTAGCTAGCTACTAGTAGGCTAGCAAAGTAAGCAGGGGTACATGTATGTGTGTAGACTCATACGGTACATGCAGATAGAGCAATCAAGCTAGCAATCACGAGTAGTACTATAATCGGCGCCTGGCACGATGGGAAGGAACCTTGTAATTGGAGCTGGCTGGAGCATCTACCGGCACCAAACTGGTACCAGTAAGCTTACCGGTACACTAGCTAGTACGATGTCAAAACCTTGCACCTAGTTTTCGCGTTTACGCTACACACGCGAGAAAGTCGACGGGCAGGATACAACCTGAAGGGTCGGTGGACAGCGGGAAGGAAGCTTGGACGCTTGGACCATCTACCTGGTAAAAGACGTCAAAACCTGAACCTCGTTTTCGCTACACACGCGAGAAAGTCGATGTGCAGGACAGAGCATGGAGGTTCCGCAACCCCGCAACTTGCTCGACTATGGCATCTTCCACAGTACCGGCACGTTCCTCATCAGTCTGTGCACGGAGATGCTTCAAGCACCAGTGGTTGCCAGAAGTTGTAGTGGTGAACCAGAGATAAAGGCAGTAAACATCACGATCAATGAAACCTTGGACTCGCGATGCCCGTGTGACCTCTCTTTGCTACATGTTGTTGCTTGCTGGTGCCTGTTGTGGGGTAGCAAAATGTAAATGTGGGAATGTGAGAGAGCGCTGCTGCAAAAGAACAACCACGAAGGACGAAGTGTGATGACTGAGGCTCGTGTGTTGAGCTGTGCTGTGATGTCAGCTTCACAGGCTCGTTGCACTAGAGTGTGCAGTACTCAGAACTCCAAAGTACTAGTATAGTACAGTCGTAGCAAGAAAGGATGAAAACTGGTACGTACAGAACAGCTGAGTTCTCATACATCATGTACTCTACTAGCTACTCCCCGTAGTAGAGAGAATCTCTGATCTTTTCATTGCAATGAGTATTAATAGTACGAGTGTATCGGTACAGTACCAATATATGCCAGTACAATGGAGCTACATAGCTATCAGTACTCAGTACATACCAGGAAAGCACTTAATTAATGGCATTGCCTTAGCTCAATGACTGCTTGGAGGACACATTTAGCGGAACTCCGGTTTAAAGAAGTTGATAATTTGTAAGCCGAAGTATCTTTTATTGAGAAGAAGCAAACAAAGGTATGTTTTGACGTGGTTCTGCCTGTTTCTAACCATCGGACGCTCAGGCTTTTTGGCTTCATTGTTTTTTTGGGAGCGACAAGCGAATGGCGATACTTCCGAATATCCGTAGCTCTTCCGTGGACGTTCGTTCAGGTTCCGTCACAGGAAGACAGCTTTGAAAACGTCGGTAGATGCGGGAAAATGTACTTTCCTTTAAATCTTCTTAGAGACAACATAACTTTAACCTTATGTTTACCTCAACTACTATTTCAATGCTGGCTTCCAAGGATGCTCTTGGATTCCGAGTTGGTTGATACCAGTGAAAGGGTGCAGACTTACTGTCTTGGCTACAGTGGTCCAGCTGCAATGTTTGTACTAGTAAGGAATTCGAACAAGAGCAGTTAATTATTAGAGAAGCTCGTAAATTCTCTGACGCGGCCCCAAGCATTCGCTGTTAGAGTTGTTAGAGGAACAACGATTAAATCGCCCCTTGCTAACCGCAAAAGGTTTGGCTACAGCAGCTCAATCGAGGGCAGAATTCCAGGAATTAGCTAGCTTCCAGTAGCTCGCTGTGAGCGACGTGCGTCTCTTCAAGGAAAAGCAGCTCTTTTATCACGGTTGACTGGCATCCAGTGGTAGCAAGACAAACCATCGAGTAGAAGAGGGCCGCACACCGCCAACACAACACCTCTACTTACAACCACCACCACCAAGCTACTATTAATAGCTACTAGTACACACACTCAATCAACAATCCTTCTGAGCTGTTCGTTTTGTGCTATTGATTGGACTATTGAATTCGCCTTTCTGAGTAGAGGACCTGTTGTTCCCAGAGCTGAGTATTTCTGTCCCTTGGTACAGAGACTCAAGGAAGCTCTACCCATCCCAACCCAACAGCTCTTTGACCTCAAGAGTCCTGCAATGTACCACCGGTACTTCAACCCACTCATCAGTGGTCGAGGTGCTGTACCCGTCCCTCCTGCGCCCGGCTTTCCCATTCCCATGGGAAGTCCTATGGCAGCTCAGGTCCCACTGATGCCAACACCGGTAGCGGTAGCACCACCAGGCACGAGCATTGCATCACTGAACCAGTGCCTGGATGGTATGATGAGCCGTGTTGTTACCAGTGATGGCAGTAGTTCGAACAACAGCAACAGCCATCACCCCTATCAGAGCAACCACAACCACAAGCCCAACAACCACACTACTTTTACAGCTCCATTATCATCATCATCATTTGCAGCAGCTCCTCCCAATAATAAGGTCTCGTTTCATGACATGCGAATGGAAGTCCGAGTGGTATCCCTGGCCTGTCTGAGTGAAGAAATGAGGAACGATATCTGGTACAGTCAGTCGGACATTGAAACCATGCGGACCGAAGCTCGTGATCTCTGTCGATTTGTACGCGTCAACCCACTCGCTTATCCGGCCGAACATACCAGAGGTTTAGAGCTCCGAATCTCACTCGAACGACAGTGTCGAAAGCAAATGACGGTGCAGGGAGTTGTCGAAGCACAGCGCAGGTGTGCCGACCCCGATGCCCTGGCATGTTTGGCACAACGATGCTCCATGGTACCCAAAGAAATGGCCTTGGCGCAAGCACAACGCGACTATTGCACTGCCTATTCATCATCATCCTCATCATCCAATAATAATCCAACTGTGTCTGCAGACAACACTAACAGCAACGATACAACGATCACAAAGCCAGCAGCCGAAGAAAAGACGTCTGAGGAGGCGGCAGCAATACATGTATCATTATCGGCAAGGATTCCTACAACAACAACAAGAAGTGAGCAGGTACCTGCAGCAATGGCCGCGGCAAACAACACCAAGCTACCCAGCCACCATCCCCGAAACGGACTCACGGGTGTCGACTACAAGGTGGCTGTTGGCAATACGATAATCATTAGAGCTTCGGGGGGCTACGACCAGTTTGAACAGAATGCTGCCAGATTCGGTGGCCCGCAGGAACAGGCAGCGGCACAACAACAACAACAATCGCATAATATGGATATGCAACAACAGCAACAGCACTTTCTCGATTCGTTCGAGCCCATACCCTTGGGGGCGACGGCATCAGCATCGGCAGCAGGTCCTCCTACCATGCCGAATGACGAAACCATGGTGGCAATACTAGACACTTTTGGCAACACCAAACGATCGTCGCGAGAGATGCGGACGGACCCGCAATCCAGGATGGTCAGACCACGATTTGGAAGATACCCCGGGACGTGAAGGAACTACACTGAACGGTAGGCACAGTGTGGAAAGCCAACATGCGGGCTAACACAGGACGGCAAATGCTGCCTATTGGAAGGGAGAATCATGCGGCTTGCACACAATCGAATCTCGCACATGCATGCGGGTGAAGTTGATTCGCGACGACGTTTCGCGTGGCTTGCTGTCCACGAGCGAGCTGGCACAGAGCAGGACGTATCGACCTCTTTCAAGCAAGCAGTGCCGTACACCGTACACCTCCACGGGGATCGATGGTTGGTCACCCATTTGGATCATAGTCATGTTGTAGACTACTGTTGTGAGTTACTATGATCTATCTCGCTGCTGGCTCCGTTGCGGAACAGATGCTGGCATCAGAACCAATGTGGCGCCAACATGGCTGGAATCCCCTGGTGCTACCGGTAGAAAAGGCTGCCGTTTATCCAGCAGTGGCGTTGCGCTCATTTTTTGCAGTGGAAGCAGTGGTGCTTGCTGCCGTATACAAGTCGTGCCATGGGATGGCATCCGAACCAGGATTGGCCCAACGTGGACTTTCCCTGATGCTACATGTAAAAGCTTGTTGGACAGACAGCCGTTTAACCAACAGCGACCTTTTATTGCAGAGGGAGCACTAACTAGATAGTGGTTGCTACCGTACACATGCCATGCACAGGACCACTAATGAAGCCACCGTAGAGCATGACGAAAGCGCTCCAGCAGCTGGCGGACCGGTATCCTGTCTCGTACCGGGAGATTGTTGGTTACGGTACGAGGATAAACTAGCTAGCTACGCAAGCAGAGCTGACCACACTTCTCGTGGCTTGTCCTACTAAGAGACTCTGACTCCCGCAAATTTGCTTCCTACCGCACTGATCCCTTGGGTGCACCTGTCGCCAGCGGGTACCTCGGGCATCGCTCCACTGGTCAACACACATTGCTAGAGTTTGACCAGCCGGGAGACGCAAAGTTCAAAGATGACATAGAGACACATAGCAGCATTTTGCTTGAAGTGGCTTCATATATGATAGGCACTGGTAAACAAAACGCAGAGGAGAGGACCCCCAAGAGTCGATAACGGTACTGGTGTCACCGCCTGCTTCGAGACCTAGTTGCTCCAAGCCTCGACTGCTACCGTAGCTAGCCAAGGTGCCATAATGAATTTATGCCGATGTCTAATCGGTCTCTGGCTCCTCATCCCAGTTCGAGGACAAAAGGTACCACTGACCTATTGCTCCTATTAGACTAGCTAGCTAGAGTCTCAGATTACCGGATGCCGGACCCAGCGGTGCAGTACCCGTACGCTACAGTACCGGCACTACTAGTTGAACCTGGCGGGTCGTGGTGTCTCCTTTGTAGTACAGGTACCATCCTCAATCCTAACTCCCGTTTCAGCCTTCACTGAATTTTCCGATGGTATCTTCTCATGGATGCTCACAAATTTGGCTCCCGAGCTTTGCAATTTTGGCCCCAATCACACGTGGATCGTTCGGTTTTGGATGTTTCATCAATCGTTGCCTAGCAAGAGCCCAACCAGGCAAGAGCAAACGACTGGATGAGGGCGGTAGCCTGTGGTGATTCTTTTCCTCACAAAAAACAGGATTGAGCGAGAAAAGACGAACTCGCAGGCAGCTGATTCTATTGAACACCAAGCGAACATACAGGCAGCAAACAACCATGACCGCCTTGCAAACACCATATCGAAACTCAGGAGACGACGCAGAGCCAGTTCCAAGCCACGTCCACTTTGCTCCTTGTGTCTCTATCATTCCCATCCCATCAAGGTGGCAAGAAGACGATGCAGGTATTGTTGGAACCCGCGGTGGTAGCATTGGCTCAGACACGGACACCGATAGCAGAGCCGATCAGGCATCATCCTGCCCAATGCAACTATCATGCTTGAGCCCAGTCCGAAGCACGAGACCTCAGCTGAGAAGGAGCGATGCCTTGGAACCTGACTTTTTGGAGCGTCAAGCAACGGCAAAAGCTGGTGCAGCTAGAAGGAGGCGCATGTTGAGGCGAAGCAATGCGTTTGAATCCTACTAAGAACTGCCTGAACTGGCTTTGGCGGCACAGCCTGGTTCAAATCCTCCAAAACTCTTGTATTTCGTTAAAGTGTAATTCTAGTTTTAAAAGAAAAGGGTATTGTACTACAGGCAAAAGAATACTAGGTTGCATTGATGGTTTCAGAAGCTTCAGTTCAACAGGTAAACAAACGATGGGTTGAGCCCACCGCCCAGTAGGCTAGGCTGGGTTAGCCATGGCAAGCATGTGGATTCAAAGCCAATTCAAAGCCAAGCCTGTGCCCCCAAGAATGGAAATTGGAATTGCCACTTGTCAATGTGATATGTGATACGTACACCAATGCCGCCCATCGCCCAGGAAACAGCAACCAGCACGGCAAACCAAGCGAGTGGCGGTTTGCCTTTGGTAACGTACCGCACCAACACGTCCAAACGCAGGGTACGACTGTACGAGCAAGAGAGCCGAAGCATGGAAGGACAGTATCAAGAACCAGCACCGATGTTGCATTCGATGCTGGTCAGCGGTGCCGAATTCGTGGCCTCTGTAAGGGAGGTTCGCCCTAATTTGTCCGAATAATGCCAGGAGCACTTCAACATTTAAACATTAAAAAACTAATAATGACTCTGGGTCAAGCCAGAGTTAAGCCATGATGGGTGGGAACGTGGGAACGAACGTTCAGGTTCTCTGTCTGTGCTTTGGTACTTTGTAACGTACAGTACTACGGTACCGGTAGCACACTGGTTATTCTACCTGTAATTTGTGTCCCAGTCTTTGAGCTACTCGGGGATGCTCTTGGGTTCGCGTTGTTTTAGTTGGCGCCTTTGGAACGGGCCTCTTGAAATTTGAGGCACGTTCCAGGTACAAGACCAGTCCTCAACAAAAACAACATACCTCCCTTTGCCGGTCCTTTGCCAAAGAATTGCATTCTTTTCTCACTAAATTGCACCTACCGGAGTTTTCACACCACCAGCCAACACAATAGAAAACCTCTTTATCATGTTCCATTCCTGTCCTTCCTATGGATGTCTGCAGTCGTTGGAATCAACGCCCACCAGCACGTCGGGGATGACACTGAAATCCCAAGCCAGAGAAATCAGACCGCCTGCCTACGAGGGACCATCTCTCGACGACGCACAATTCCGAAGCAACTCACCCCTGACCGTTGCGTTCGACGATGAGACCGACCACGCGTTCGAGGACATTGACATGTCTAGTTCTTGGGATGAACAACTAGCGTGGCTTCAAATACCTCTCAAGGGAGGATGTTGTATGGACGATTCCAGCAGACACCACCAACATCAACAACAACAATCACGAAAGAAACGCCGCGTCCACTTTCTTCCATCGGTGGAGGTCACACTGATTCCATCCCACAGAGACTATTCCGATGCCACCAAGCAACAACTGTGGGCGTCTACCGAAGAGATCCGCATCAATGCCGTCAAGGCTCAAATGGAAATGTGCCTGTATGAACATGTCTACCCCGATGAGAGCGAGAGTGGGCACGATGACGACTTTCTACAGGAGCCTGAACACCAATTTGTTCCATTGCAACGCATGCAAAAGGCCAGATAATACTAACTAAAACAAAAATGGACCAACGATTGAATTCCATTCCTCACAATTTTTAAAGTCGCAACCCTGCAAGCCAAATCTTGCAGCATCCACTCAGTCAATCAAACAAAATCGCAGATCTCGATTTTCTGGCTCGGAACGATCCTACACCGCCACTCGCTAGAGACACTAAACTAATGTTCATAACACAAGGAAACCATACCGGTACAATACAATCTAATCATACGGCACAGCCAGCATCATACAGCCAACAGAGGCTCGAGGGGCTTCCCTTTTTACAAGGGACAGCCGATCCCGATGTTGCTTCCGCCGATGTTGGCCATTGGGGTTCTCGTTTGCTCAGTCTTGCTTCGTTGGCTTCGATTCGCTTCCAGTCGTCCTCCAACTCCAAGCCGCTCTCCGCCCTCTACTCCTACTACGGTACCTGGTACATGGACATCATGTATGTAGATGACACGGCGGCAGTTCGCTAGGACGATCTAGGCACAACAACAAGGAACAACTCATTGTGCCGTGTCGGAACGAAGTGCTAGAGTTGGGGGGCAGTGTGGGATTGGTGCAAGCGGTTTCTAGCTAGACTGCACCAACCGGCACCCAGAGCTATTGGAACCCAAAAACTGAACCTGAGCAGCCAGGTAGGATGTTGGGTATCTCGCAAAGGGGCACCATGGTCATCTTCCTTGGTTGGCTGCTCAGAGTTTTTAGTGGGTAGCTCTTGGATTGGCTCTAGCTAGGCGAAGTTCTTCCATCCAACTCAAGATCAGGGCTGGCTGAGAATTGTGTTATCTTATCAACGAGGCAAACGTGTGTCTCATGGCATCAGAGGAGCAAGGTGTTCCCTTGCCAATCAAAACGGCCCAAATTGACCTCGAGCGGTGACAAGCCACAATGACGAAGATTCCATTCCATTTCTCGAAGAAGATCGTTGTGGTTGTTTCTATCGCTGAAGGGTCCATCATCTGAAGGGTCCTTCAAGTCTCAACTCTCAAATAGCTCGTCACATCTTTCCCTCCGCCTACCCATATCCAAGCTGGCTAGTAGATCCTCCGGACCATCCTTCCGTTAGTGGCTGTAAACTCTGGATCCTTGTTAAAATTAAATTAAATAAAATGAACGAAGAAGAGGAGCCTTCGTGGCTATCAGGCAAAAACGATCACTTGCACCGAAAGGCCGTGTTATCCGAAGAAGCCTCAGAATCAGAGCCCTTGTTATTTGGTTCTGGTCCAATTCCTCTGGAAGGCGAAGTGAAAACTCCAACTCCCATGGTAGCTGATGATGACGAAGAAGCCCAGTCTGGTTCGAACAACAAGTATGGATCCCTCGGCAATACCAAAGAGGCGTCTTCGGTAGCTAGCAGTTCCACTCGAGATAACAGCAACAAAAAGAAGAAATAGTTGTGTTGGGGATTCGCGATAGGGATTCAACCCTGTACCTCTGTACTAGAATTTCACAGTAGAAATACAGAGCCCACCCACTTTTTCAGTAGTATCTCAAAAGCAACAGTAAACTAGAAGAGAGCTTAGAGCAACTAACAGTAGCTAGCCAATGCCACAAAGACACCTTAACCTTCTAATTCATAGGATGGCTCTTCCTGGGCCATATCGCAATTCCACTCAAACCAAGTAAAGGCACGCAACAAGTCCCTGCGAATTGTTTGTATTGTTGCTTTTCTATCCAGTTCAATTCATTCGTTTCCACTCTTTCAAATCCTTTCTATATTTGATCCATACTTGCCGATCCTTCTTTTTCACTCTGTCTCTCAATCGTTTCAAACAACAGAATCCCATGAGCATGTACCAGATTCCACAGCCAAAGATGAACCAGGCCGAAATCTGCATGAATAAGGATGCCCACGCCACATGGAATTGATCCGCATGAGCCGACACCATAGTCTTGACTCGCTCCGAGTAGGCTTCTTCCAAACAAATGAGCCCCAAGAAGGAATAGAGAAATCCCCTCGAAATAAACGTTTGCAAGATAGGTGAATTGCGGAGAAAGGGTATGGGGGCATTGGATTCCACCAAGAGGAATAGAATGCAGAATAGCGACACGTAGAATTTCAAGGCCAAATCAAAGTATCCTTGGCTCTTGAGAGGGGCAAAGAAGAGGGGTATCATTTGCGTCGCCAGCAATCCGAGAGAGGATATTCCCGTAATGGTCGATACGACACGGAAGTATTCCACACACCAGTTTCGTTTGGGCATGTGAGGTTTTGTGTCCAAGGTCAATGCGGTGTGGGTGTCATCTCCTGTAATCACGGAACTGTCGTCTTTGTCGTCGTCGTGAAAGGGTTCAGTGTTGTTGTATTCATCAAAAATACTCTTGGGCGGTACGTCCGTCTTCTTTTTCTTGGACTGCTTGCTTTTCT